GCTGATTGGTTTAAAAGAACTGTGATCAAACCATCCTAACCAGTGTAACCAGCTGAACCTAATGTAATTAAGGTTTCATTACTACGACTAAACCACTAGTTTGCTGCTGGTTACCTCCACAATGAAGACAGACGTGTTAGCTATGCTAATTCAATCATGCTACGCTGCTGTGGTGGAGGTGCAGAGTGATGTGGCTGTGTGTGATTGGCTGAGAGAGAGAGAGAGAGAGAGACAAAGACGGTGAACTGTGTGAAGGACAGAGATTAAACATGTCTCGTACCATTGGCTCGTGGCTTTTGTTGCGCTGTGACCTGCCATTTCGTGAACATTTTCCCCTCACAGCCTTTCAGATCTGCAGTGACTGCCAATAATGAAGGAAACGCTCAGTTTTTTTTTACGTGGCGTTCGAGCCAGGGCTGTAACCTCCAGTGTGAGTAAGAAATAATGCAGAATATTTCTTTTTCTGTCCATTGAATTTGTGCAGGTCCATTCCAAGGTTGGCCTCACACAGCAACAAAGCAGGTAGTGAAGGGAATGTGAATGCGTACGCCAGTGAGAGACTGAGTTCAGAACACTTAGACTGGAGCTTCTGGTCTCTCACCCCACTGCTCCTGGTGAAAAGGGAACATCCTTGGTGCAGCGTTTATAAACTTCTTATATGGCAGTGGAGAACTATGGGGGTTTTGTCCTGGCTCAGGGTATTGTCTGTGCTCTATAGGAGGCGCTATCCTTGGGTGAGCCTCAGTGAAACTGCTTGCTTCGTCTACTTGGTTCTTTGGAGGACACAGTCAATTCAGCTTCTAGGTTTTTTTTACTGTATGTGGAGAGTTCTTTGGCTGATGTTTTAAGACCGCAGTGAAGTTCAGCATCACGTGGTTTTTTAGCTGCTTTATGCTACGGTGTCTTCTCCCTTTTTCTGACCAAGGTTTGGAGCTAGAGGACGTTCTCATGGCATCGACATCTGTCTGTCAACGGTCGTCACCGATACGATAAAGAAAATGTTATTTTTCAGTAAATATGCAGTGAACTGGACGCTGTATCGTCACCCCTGATTGTGATACGTATTGTATCACCAGATTCTTGCCGAGACTGCCCCCTAGTTGATGTCCAGTGTCATGACTCCATCTCCTTTGTACCTGCAGCTCTGATGAAATAAACCCATAAATAAAAACGTCACAGCTGCAGCTGCTCTGGAGCCGTTCTTCGTACCGTTGTTCTCTCCTCGTCCTCATCACTTCTTCTTCTTGACTCCACACGTGTGTCGGATTATCAGGTTCATTTTCTCTCTCTTGCGTGTGTTGCCATGGTTGTGTGAGCCAGCGGTGAAAAATGGCTTTAATTTAACCAAATGTTGGTTGTTGGTCTGAGGGAATACACTTTCCCTCCGTGGCATCTCTGCTGTGGAGGTTTAATTACTGTAATACCTCAACGTGCAGCACCAGCAAGGGTTAACGCTCAGCTGGGTTCTCATCCTCCTCCACCTTTGGTTTGGTTTGTACAACTTTCTGTTACCGTATTAATTACAGATTTGACAGTTTCTGTTTTTCTCCAACTGTGTCAGAGTTTATAAAGATCAGGGTTAGGGTTACTGTGGTCGCAGTACTGTTGAAGTACCGACAGAGTTCAAATACGTCGTGATACACACTGATCGTTTTAGGATTTTAAATGTGACCTTTGGCCCCGTCAGTGGAAAACTGTACACATTACTGAATCAAACATGGGTCAGTTATTCTAGTCCAACAAAGTGTTGTGAAAATGAATGAATACAACTTTAATTCTAAGGAGGCCGAAACAGGAGGCTGGAGAAAATCACTGTTTTTATTCAGTCTTGATTTTTTTCTTTATTTATTTGATTTTTTAATTACAACTTTTTCTTCTTCTTAATCTGCTGTTAAACTAGTACTAGGTTTGTGTAGATATAAAAAGATCATTTAGGGAACGGTCGAGGTTTAGTGGTGCCGTCAGCGTGTTTTCAGTTTCACTGTAAATAATTCAGGGCCGTCACCCTGTACAGTCACTGATGATATGAAAAGATCGGTGGAGTCGCAGAAACCAGTGTGTGTAAAGGCCGAGGGCAGAGATTAATGCAGAACGTTTGTGACCTTGAGGCCTGAGGTGGTACTGCGTCAGACTCCAGTGTTAGCTTGATGGACGTAGCCATTGAACTGACAGAACGGCACCCTGGGAACCGGATCATGTAAAGTGGAGGTTGGACTGTAAATCTCACACGTGGTCTGAACCTTCTGCAGAGTGAAGATGTCTCGACGACTGCAACCACAGGAACCCTGAGGCCAAACCTGTTCGTCGGTGGCTTCAGATCTGAAACCTTCAAGTGCTGCAGTTCAACCACCTGCCACTAGTCCCAGTTCTGTTCTTAAATGAGTTAATGAGTGGCTCAACATGTGGTTGAACAACATCCGACCATCATCACGCCACAGGTTTTCAATGACTTCAGAATCACAGCGCCTCTCGCAGGAATAAAAAAAAAAACAACAAACAAAAAAGAAACTACAGGAACAGGAACCGACTCACCTTTCTTTACCTGTTTGTGCCAGAACCTTTTTTTTTTAAGTGCTGCCTTGCTGAACCACCGCCACCACAGCCCACATGCCTTCCCACACCCACTACAAATAGACGGCTAAGGTGCTACATTCCGTGGCCTCGGTGCCGATCCCCGAGGCTGAGGAGTACGGTCTGTGTTGGTGGGCATGTCACCCCGTCCATTTAAAATAACACAGGCCTAAAAATACTGCTGTGTGTGTGTGTGTGTGTGTCGGCGAGTGTGTGCACACGCACATGTGTGTCAGTCAAAGAGAGAGAGAGAGAGAGAGAGAGAGAGAGACTGATTGACTTCCCGTTTCCTTCACTGTTTGCTCACTGGTTCTTTCTGTTTTTACTGCCAATAATGTGCTCAGTTAGTTATTGCTCTGTTCGTTAAAGGAAACGTCTGTGTGAACCAAGGTGATCTGTATTTTATATCAGGTCTTGACCCTCCACAACAGAGGAAAAGAGTACACAGAAATACTTTATCACGTCACTGTAAGAGAGAGCTACATAACCATTTAAAGACCCTTATACAAAAATACATATGAATGTGTTGTAGAGCTGCACCGACCGACCAGCAGGTGGCCACAATCAACTAGTTGTTGTCGACTCGTTCCAGTCACCAAACACTTTATTTAGAACGTAGCAGAACCTGTGACTGAGGGCAGTTTGGGTCAAATGTATATATTATATATATATATATATATATATATATAATATATACATATATATATTATATATATATATATTTTTTTTTTCATATGCTGTCAACTGAAGGATAAGGAATCGGCCAAAATACTTCCATTAGTGCATCTCTAATAAATCATTAAGACAAAAGGAGGATTAAAAGAAAAACCCAATTCTTTTTCTCACTTGATATTGACTGACTCTGCTCAGGCAGGTGTTCTGTTGGGGTTGTAGAGGACGGTGGGTGCAGTTCTCCGTGCCACCAGAAGGTGCTGGGTTTGGTACCACCCGGTGTTTAACGCTGTGACTCCACACAGTCTGTCGACACAGGGCGCCACCTTCTGTCCAGCTGTGACATGACCTGTCCCTTCAGCTCAGCCTGAAGTCTTGACGTTCTCAGGTCAGAGGTCACTGAGCTGCTTCTGCTGAGCTGCACATCCCCTCAGTGGGGGAGGTGGAGTGGGGGGGGGTGCAGGTGGAGCTGCTGACGCCTCCACTCTTGTCCTGCTGCGTTACATCACCGTGCCGTGCGTGTGTGTGTGTGCTGGTGTGGGAGGCGTCCACTCACTGCCACAGGACTCTGGTGATGAAGAGGTAGATGTTGGACTACGACCCCTGCTGTGACCCCTGACTCACTCCAGGATCATGTGATCTGTGTGAACACGACACGGCAGCTCCCGTCTTCACGGTCTGGACGTCTCCTCTCTGTGATGTCATTCACGGTGTAGCCTACAGTCGACCTCCTGGTCTGTGGCAGCGTGAAGACGAGCAGCGTTCATCAATAAGTCATGACCTGATGAGGAGACACATCTGTCAACGGGTCAGGTCCAGATGAAGGTCCTTCATGGACGCACACACACACACACACACACACGCTGAACTGTGACAGAACCTGAGGTGTGTACCAGGTACGGTACCACCAGGTACCAGTACCAACAGGTACCAGTACCACCAGGTACCAGTACCAACAGGTACCAGTACCAACAGGTACCAGTACCAGCAGGTACCAGTACCAACAGGTACCAGTACCAGCAGGTACCAGTACCAGCAGGTACCAGTACCACCAGGTACCAGTACCAACTGGTACCAGCAGGTACCAGCACCAGCAGGTACCAGCAGGTACCAGTATACAGTGGTGCAGGTTTGTCTCCTGCAGCTGTGAAACAGTCAGACCATCTGTCCGTACACTTGGAGGAAGAGGAGTCAAAGGATACAAGTGTGTGTGTGTGTGTGTGTGTGTGTGTGCGCCCTCCACTCAGGATGAAGCTCGGTGCAGCAGATCTGAACACTGTAATGAGTTCACTTTCAAAATACTTTACATAATTTATTTCTTGCCCTGGCCCCCAGGGGGGGCACTGGAGCATTAATTAATATCAGGCTCCAGTATCAGCAGCCCGTGTGGAATTCCCGCTGCCTCCCGTTTTTGGCCCTCTTTGA